GCATATGTGCAGTGTAAATGCACCCTTTAGCTAATTTCTAGTGAAATTATTAAATGAGATGGAAACAAGGTGACGGGGGGGGGGGAGATCTTTGCATTAAGACCCGGATGCTCAGAGTTCAACAGGTGATGGATGTCTCGGTCACTCCGTGTCTCCCTCTGGGTTGGCAGAGCTCACTCCCTGAGCCCCCAGTAACTGAAGGATTTTAATTCTTGATTTTTATCGGGACAGAAGTGGAAACAAGTGCAGAATTTGCAAGGCTAGATGGATAGAATTATCCTGTGGTCACCAGAATCAAGTCACAACCTTGCACTGTAGCCGTGGGTGCTGTTTGGAGCCGGTCTGGAAACACTTTTGATACACAGTTGCATCACCTCAGACAGGGACCTGTGACAGTGATGGGTGGCTGGTGTGGTGATGCCATTGAAGACTACCACTATCCACAGGAGTAAAATCACCGTTCTTTGAGCTGACAGAGAATAGTGTGTTGCTTGTCTTGGGGGAGCCCTGCCTGGTACTAACTCTTTCTTACTTTTAAGGTTTGGACTAAACTTTTTATTATTATTTTGAGATTTATCTATTTTTATTTTATGCATATGGGTGTTTTGCCTGCATGTATGTCTGTGCAACATGTGTGTGACTGGAGCTCACAGAGTCCAGAAGAGACCATTGGATTCTCTGGAACTGGAGTTACAAATGCTTGGGAGCTGCTGTGTGGGTGCTGGGAATGAACCCAGGTCCTCTGGAAGAGTAGTCAGTGTTCTTACCCACTGAGCCATCTCTCCAGCCCCTGAACCAAACTTTCCTAGGGTATGGTTGTTTTTTGCAAATTTGGAGTAATTAAAAAAAAATACTTGTTGTCTTTGATAAGCTTAAAAAAAGTTAACTCCAAGCTTATCCTCCACACAACTCTTATTTAGTTGTGAATTAGTATATATAGCTAATTCCTTGGATGTGTGTTCCTGTATCCTACTGTCTCCAGGGATACTGATGTGGACAGGGCACAATAGTTAATTTAATTCATAATTTTTATGATTATATTTAGAAGTCAGTTCTGATACAAAACCATTAAAATGGTTTTAGGAATCAAAATGTACTTGTAGCGCGGGTGGGCTGAGAAGAGACCATAACCAGCCTTAACAACTATCATTTTAACAAAATTCTTAGGAAGAATGGTGTCGCAGTCTAGAAAAGAGGAATTTAGTTAATGAATGCTTCAATTTGACACAGATCTTTTAGTTACCTTTCTCAAAGACATCGTTGGTTTGCCTCATTGTTTTGATTGGTTACTCCTGAATTATTTTGAGTGGATCATGGGGTGAGTGTGTGTGTGTGTGTGTGTGTGTGTGTGTGTGTGTACACTAAAGGTCGTTTTATATATAAGAAGTTTCTCCTGTATTATAAGAACTGGGGAGAATCTTTTCTACCCCTGCTTTCCTTCATGAAAAAAAGTTTTCTCTCTCCCCCTCAGAAAAGGTTGCCGATATGTCCACCAGGCCAGTATGTCCACCAGGGGAAGGAGGGCTCTGGTCAGAGTAGCAGAGTCTCTCTGGGTTTGGCAGCAGCCATGGGCAAGCCCCTGTCTCCACGTCATTCTTCAGACTTTACATTCTCAGCTTTACCCTGCTGAGAGCCCTGTACCCTGGCCATTGTGTCCATCAACCAAGGGCAGAGCATAGAGGAAACAAAACAGCACATAATCCCCACAGTGAAGAAGGGTATGCCAGCCTAATCCTTCAAAGAATGAAGGTTGTCTCAACCCACACATGCTGCAGCTTTTTCCAAGGCAGAGACTCTGGTTCAGTGAAACAATAAAATGCAGCAGGAGTGAGCACCCAGGCCTCACAGGGTGAGGATCTCACAGCCCCCACCCCGACCCCCAGTTACAGGCTGAGAGAGTCAGGGCTACAGGCCTTGCCTGCTTCGCCCCTCTATTGCTTCTTTCCAAGAAGGAAAAAAAAAAAAAAAAACCCAGCCACTTAGATGTCAGATGTCTGTGAAGTTCCATTTAGGCCTCCATCCTTTGGCCTCTGCTCCAGTAGATCTGGCTTTAATGGTTCTCTGTGCAGCCAAAAAATTCAGCCTAACTCCTCATTCCATTTGGATTTTGGCATAGGCAGGAAAGCAAAGCCAGGGCAGTTCATCTGTATCAAATGCCAGCCTGTGCCAGGCCCGTGTGGAGATGTCACCTTGTAATTTCACTCCTGGTTCCTGGTCATTTGTTCCACCCACTTGGAGCTTTGGGTTGCATAATAATTCACCAAAACATTAAAGTTATGATCATCCCAATAGCAGGAGTCAAATTCCTATGTGGAAGGTCTTTTTATGCCCAGTCCAGACCCTCAGGTCTTTGAGGCTGGCAAGCTGGAGAGGAGAGATTTTATTTTGTTTTGTTTTTTTACCTAATGTGATTGAAGGTCTACCTCACTAGAAGGAGAATTGGTTTCAGTGTGGCACTGTTGGCAGCCCTTCCAGAGACATCCTCACCCCACCCACCCCCACCTCTGTGTGTGTGTGTGTGTGTGTGTGTGTGTGTGTGTGTGTGTGCGTGCGTGCGTGCGTGCGTGCGTGCGTGCGCGCGCCAGGTATCAACTTCAATTGTTGTTTCTCAGGCGCTACTCACCTTGTTTTCTGTGACAGGGTCTCTCATTGACCTGGGACTTTCCGAGTAGGCTGGCTGACTGCTATGGAGTCCCAGGGATTGTCTCCACCTCCCTAGCATTAGGACTGCAAGTGTATACCACTGCACTCGGGTCTGTTATGAGAGTTTGGGGGATCAAATTCAAGTTCCGGTGCTTGAAAAGCAAGTCCCTTACCAGCGGGGCCACCTCCATCTTGTTCTTTATCTAAAGCACCTGCTGCGGTGGTGTTCTGTGCAGCCTAGGGAAGAGACAGGCGGTTAATACTGCCGATTCCACACCCTTCCATCTGTCCTTCCATGTGGTGAGTATGCACTGCATATGCGTTTCTGCCAGACACTGGCATCAGGAAAGGAGATTAGCAGTACACCTCTACTGTGTACCTGACCTCAGGTAATGTTTGTGATAGACATAGACCAGACATGCCAGCTACACTGGCCCTGTGCTGATTAAAGAAGATTGGAGGTGTGGGAAGAGCCAAGCTCTCCTGAGACCTCAGTCCAGAGGGGAGCATGGCTGTGAGAGAATTTTCGGTGGTAGGTGATAGATACAAGGTCTGTATGTCTAGGACAGTGGAGAGAGAATGCCAGTCGGGAAGACATGGGGACTTCTGAAAAGGGGTTTGCAATCTGAGTTCATTTCCTTGTTCAGGTATGTAAGAAAGAACACATAAAAAGAACGGGGCAGGCCTGCTGTGGCACTGTGTGCTCCCGGGGCAGGAAGGTCTGTGGAGGAGGCTGGGAGGTAGCCTGTGGCTTTTTGTAGCATAGGACAGGAATTGTCATCTGTGTGCGTGGCCAAGGGCAGGATGCAGCCAGGTGATGACCACCTGGGAAGTGGGGTGCAGTTTGTCTGCTCCCCCCAAGGTCCTGAGTCTCTTCTGTTCTCCTGGCTTTTCTTCTTCTTCCTAACAGAAGGTAGTGACAATTCCAGCTCATCCCCTGTCGCTGCTTGTGATCCTTTGCAGATCTCATCTAGTCCCGTGCTCAGCTGACTTTCCATCTCTCCGTCAGGAATGTCTTCTTCCTGCCCGTAAGCCATCACCACCTCCACTTCCCAAAGTCTTCATCTTCCAGGTCAGGCAAAGCAGGACTGAAAACTTTCCTCCATGCTTCTCCCTAGCTCAACCCATTTTCTCTGTTTCCTTATTCCTGTTAATACTGCCATCCAAATCTTAAAGGCATAAACCTTACCTGCCCCTCATCCAGTCCCTGACCAAAGGCCATGCATAATTTCCTTCACACTCATCTCTTAATTCAAACTCTGACTCCCATCACTGACCAGTTACTTCCCATTCCGTCACTGGAGCATGTCAGTGAATCTCTTATCCAACCATCATTCATTTTTGAGACTGAGTCTTGTTATGTAGCCCAGGTTGGCCTGGAACTCAGTGTCCTCCTTCCTCAGCCTCCCCCTTGCTGGATCACTGCTGTGCACTGCCATGCCTGGCTGTCTCTTGGACTTGGATTCAGTTCAGGCATCATCATTTCTTTCTTGGTTCTTCACAATCAGTTCAAGAGCTGCCCTGTTTCCAGTTCCTCCATCCCTCTGCCAAGTGACCTTTGACCTTCCCACGCCTTGTGCAAAGAAAGCACAGCTGGCCCCTTGTGGACTTGCCCTTGTGTATAACCTGCTCATCCAGCTCGATTTTTCTGCATTTATTTCTCTGGAGAACATCTCGATGGTCTGTTAAACTGTATGTTAAACTATATGTGAAGTTTGACTTCACTACCAAGAGACTAGCCTGAAGAATCTTTGCTTTACAGATTGACTGTTAGACACTGAGCATTGTGTCAGAAAGGCTGAGCTGAAGAGGGGATACGGTTCATGCCCAGTGGGTCAGTTGCCCTTGAGGAAGATTGCCAAGCTTGGAGATGGATGGTGATGGTTTCCCATCTGTGTGACTAGAATACATGACACTCATGTGTACATTCTAAAATGACTAACTTGGAGGAGGGGTGGAGAGATGCACAGTCTTGGAAAGTGCCAGCGGACCTTAGCTATGTCCTGAGCACCCACGAAGAGCTGGATTTGCACTCACAGCATGGGAGTAGGCAGGACGGGCAGGTCCCTGGTGGGTAGCCAACTCTTCTAGTCTAATTGGTAAGCTCCAGGCCAATGAGCAACTCTGTCTCAAAAGGAGGCAGATGGCATTTCTGAGGATGATACCAGAGGTTGTCCTCTGACCTCCACACTCGCAAGCACACGTGTACACACACACACACACACACACACACACACACACACACACACACACACACACACACGAGCACAGGCATACACCCACTACACACAGTCAAGAATAAAGAAAAAAGATATGGCCAAGATGGTAATTTTTGAATTTCATATGTCTCACTTTAGTAAAAGGAAGGCTCGGCCATCTCAACAAGAGTAAAACTATGGAAGTGAGAGGTAGGTTAGGTGATGCAGGCCTACAACCCAGCTGCATGGGAGGCTCCAGTCCTGTAACCCAGCTGCATGGGAGACTCCAGGCCTGTAACCCAGCTGCATGGGAGGCTCCAGGCCTGTAACCCAGCTGCATGGGAGACTCCAGGCCTGTAACCCAGCTGCATGGGAGACTCCAGGCCTGTGATCCAGCTGCATGGGAGACTCCAGGCCTGTGATCCAGCTGCATGGGAGACTCCAGGTCTGTAACCCAGCTGCATGGGAGACTCCAGGCCTGTTATCCAGCTGTATGGGAGACTCCAGGTCTGTAACCCAGCTGCATGGGAGGCTCCAGGCCTGTAACCCAGCTGCATGGGAGACTCCAGGCCTGTAACCCAGCTGCATGGGAGACTCCAGGCCTGTGATCCAGCTGCATGGGAGGCTCCAGGCCTGTGATCCAGCTGCATGGGAGACTCCAGGTCTGTAACCCAGCTGCATGGGAGACTCCAGGCCTGTTATCCAGCTGTATGGGAGACTCCAGGTCTGTAACCCAGCTGCATGGGAGGCTCCAGGTCTGTAACCCAACTGCATGGGAGACTCCAGGCCTGTAACCCAGCTGCATGGGAGGCTCCAGTCCTGTGATCCAGCTGCATGGGAGACTGCAGTCCTGTAACCCAGGTGATAGAAGACCCCAGGCCTGTAACCCAGCCGTACCAGAGACTGGGGCAGGAGGCTCACAACTTCAAGGCTTTCCTGAACTACAGAACAAGTTCAAACTTAGCTTAATGAGACCCTTTCTTAAACATTTTCAAATGAATACATAGTGTTAACAATGGAATAAACAATATAAAAAAGGGCTGGGGATACAGCTCAGGGACAGAATGCTTGTGGAGCCTACACAGGCCCTGGGTTCAAGCTCAAGGAAGGAAGGGAACGAGAGTTAGTTGGCTGTTGAAGTCTATGTAACCTAGGCTGCCTTGAACTTAGGATCTTCTTGCCTCAGCCTCCCAAATGCTGTGCTTTGAGGCATGCACTACCTCACCGCTCATCCAGAGGGGATTTTCCTGGGGAACTGCACTGCCTCTGTCTTACCAGGTACATGCAGGAGGAGTTACGATGAAAGAGTGTGGCTTAAGGGACACTGCCTGTGGAGTGTGTCCTGCAGTTCCATAGCTGTCCCCGTGTGTGACATTTGTCCCTGACATCTGGAAGGGAAAAATGGGCTGCGTGGTGCTCTGGTGACTGAGCTCTGGCGGGGGTGTATTCACTGAACTTGGTCTCTTCAGTCCTAAATAGACATGACTGTTTCCCTTGGCCCACACCTTGACCAGTTCCCACTAGGGGCCTGAGTGGGTTTTGTCTTAAATGTTGCCCAGGGTAAATGGATGGGACCTCAGCACAAAGGAAGGTGGAAGGCCATCGGCAGGAGCAGGGCAGTGGAGGGACTGTGTGGCCCCAGGCTCTCGGGAGCTCACCCGTCAAGACAAATACAGGGAAGAAAGGTCTTGGCTAAGTCTCTAGGGATGAAAACCTGCTGATCCAAAGATGCAAAACCACTGTGCAGCAGGACAGCAGGGGACCGTTCCCGTGGCTTCGCACGTCCCTCCCCTGGCTCCTCCAGCCCTTCTCTAGGGTCTGAAGGAAGAACACTGTGAGAAAGGGAAATGTGGTTCCCATTTTCTCTCCCCAGAAGTGGACCACTGAAGACCCTCTCAGGGCAGAGACATGACTCACCTTCTGAGGAAGGCCTCTCTGCGGCCCAGTGCCTGGAATTAAGGCCTCTGGTTTCAGAATCTGGAGTGCTTTGCTGTTTAATGGGCTGTAGTTCTTGTATTACCTGAGAATGACCAAGGTATAGGCCTTGCCTGACTTTTCACCCAGCAAACAGAATGGAGCAGATTCAGAGAGAAGGTGGGAGACAAAAGTGAGAGCTGCTTTTGCTGCGCTCTACAAGTGCACTTAAGTCGGGGTACCAGGACTCCCGCTTCACCTCGGCACCCCTGAAGCCAGGCCATACGATACACCCAACACCCCAGACACAGTCCATCGCCACCTTTGGCCTGGGTTCCTGCATGTCTTTACAAACTGTAGTTTAATTTCACTTTTTGTATTAGAGGGACGTTTATCCTCTCCTCATAAGTTGTCTAGGTTTGGACTGCCCGCGGGCAAGCACGCGGCCAAGATTAAACCAATTACAGAGGGTTGGGATAACTGGCCCATGGGAGAACACGGTGGGCTGGCTAGTAGGCCCCTGTCCCCTTTGAACCTTCGCTCACCAAGCTGGGTTTGCGAGGGATGTGTCCAGTTCACCTTTCCCGTGCTGTTAGGCATCAAAGGACGTGACACTCCACACTTGCAGTCACAAATGGACACCCTCATCTTTTTGTGGGTATTTGTCTTCCATTAAAAAATAGGTATGGGGGGCTGGAGAGATGGCTCAGAGGTTAAGAGCACTGACTGCTCTTCCAGAGGTCCTGAGTTCAATTCCCAGCACCCACATGGTGGCTCACAACCATCCGTAATGAGATCTGGTGCCCTCTTCTGGCCTGCAGTCATACATGCTATATACATAAAAAATAAACAAATCTTTAAAAAAAAAGGTATGGACCACTTTATCCATACTTATCAAGGGAAAATTATAGATATAAAGAAGTATTCCTGTGGATAATCACACACAACTTGCTTCTCATGCATCATAATCTATTAAGATTGTCTTTCGTGTGTGTGTGTGTGTGTGTGTGTGTGTGTGTGTGTGTGTGTGTGTGTGTGTGTGCGTGCGCGTAGGTGCATGTGTGTGAAGGCTAAAAGTCATCCTCAGGTGTTGTTCCTCAGGATCTGTCTGCCTTGATTTTGAGCCAGGGCCTCTGGTTGGCTTGAGGCTCATCGGTAGGCCAGCCCCGGGGATCCACCTGTCTCAACCTCCCTAGTACTAAGGTTACTCTGGGCACCAACAGCCATGCCTGGGGTTTTTTACATGGGTGTTAGGATAGCACTTTACTGACAAGGTTGGCCCCACCTCCCTTGAGAAGTATAGATCCCTTGGGACAGAAATTAGTGCTTGTCCTATTAATTAGTAAGAGATTCTAAAACCTTTGTTATTGTGTGTGTAGGTCCTAGAAGTGAACACTTACCCCTGGTGGGAGTGGACACTCAGAGCCAGTAGGAATGATTAATTCAACCATTGTTCTGTGAGAATGCCCTCTGGCAACCAGGAGCTGAGCCAGGGACAGAGTGGTATTTGGAGCAGACACCTGTGTTCCCAGGTCAGCCTGACTGGGCTTGTGATTAACATGGGGAGGGTCCCCGCTGGGGCATAATAGGAGCTTTTTCTTTTCTTGCTCTAGATGAAGGTTTTTATTTATTTATGTGTGTATTTATCTTATTTATCTGTTTTGATTTTTTTGAGAGTTTCTCTGTGTAGCCCTGGATGTCCTGAAACTAGCTCTGAAGACCAGAATGGCCTTGAACTCAAAGATCTTCCTGCCTCTGCCTCCTGAGTACTGGGATTAAAAGTATGCATCACCATGCCCAGCTGAAGTTTTAATTTTTTGTTGTTGTTTTTGAGTGAAAAATAGAATGTGGTAGAAATTTCAAAAGAGTGACTTTCTACCAGGGGAATTGTTTGTCTCTCCCCAAGGAAAGTGGGCAATGTTGAGAGAGAGAGAGAGAGAGAGAGAGAGAGACTGCCTGTGTGTCTCTCTGTCTGTCTGTCTCTCTGTGTGTGCATGTGTGGAAAACAGAAGTTGACCTGAAGTCTGACACTCTCCCGTTGATGTATGTATGTATGTACTTATTTATTTATGATATTTTGGTTTTTTATAGTCATAAGGTATATTTCCTTCCTTCCATTTAATTATTTAGCTGTTCTTCTCTCATCCCAACGGCAGTCCCCCCATCCCAGTCTTCCCAGGCCCCTCCCCCACCTCTTCTCTCCCCCAGATGCACTCCTTCTGTTTCCCTTTAGAAAAGAGCAGACCTCCAGGTATATTAACTGAACATGGCATAACAAGTTACACTAAGACCAGGCACAAACCCTCATATCAAGGCTGGACAAGGCAACCCAGTAGGAGGAAAAGGGGCCAAAGAGTCAGGGACAGCCTCCACCCCCACTCTTAGGAGTCCCACAAGAACACCAAGCTACACAACTGTAACATGTATGCAGAGGACCTAGCTCAGACCTATGCAGGCTCCCTGGTTGTCACGTCAGTCTCTGTGAGCCCTGTGATCCCTGCTTAGTTGATTCTGTGGGCCTTGTGCTTGTGGTGTCCTTGATCCGCCTTGGCTCCTACAGTCCTTCCTCCCGACTCTTCTGCCCGGTTCCCGGAGCTCTGCCCAGTGTCTGGCTGTGGGTGTCTGCATCTGCTCCCATCAGTTGTTGGAGAAGTCTCTCTGATGACGATTGGGCTAGACATCAGTCTATGAGTATAGCAGAATATCCTTAGGATATCCTCATTAGTTGTTTGTTTGCCAGTTGTGTTTGGTTCTAGGTCTCTGGGCTGTCCAGCCCCTGGTCCTGGCACTCCAGGCAGTGTCAGGGGTGGGCTCCTTCTCATATTTTGGCATTTTTGAGACAAGGTCTCATTATGTAGCTCTGACTGTCCTGAGACTCATTATGTAGACCAGGCTGGCCTTGAACTCACAGAGATCTGCCTGGCTCTGCCTCCCGAGTGTGCCTTCATGCCTGGTTCCTTCTTAGTTTTTGAGACAGGGTCTACCACTGTTAATTTGGATCACATCAGTTCAGCTGTGTCTGCCCCTCCCTGTGTTGGTCACAGACCTGTGGCACCAGGCCTGACTTTTACATGGTGCTGAGGTTCTGAACTCCTGTCCTCGGGCCTGCCACAGAAGGTACTTTGCCAACTGAGCCATCCTCTCAGCTCCAGAAGTCGTTTTTGGTTGTTAAAGGCAGAGTGCAGTCTGCTGGTACCTAAGCGTCTCACAGATCACAGCAGAACCTGTCCTAGCCCAGAGCATCCTGCCACCAAGGCTGAGAAAAGGAATGGGGGTGGGCTGGAGAGGTGGCTCAGCAGGTCGGAGGAGCACTGGCTGCTCTTGAAGAGGACCCATGGGCCACGTGGCAGCTCATAAGCCCTGCAGTGCTAATTTCAGGGGGCTCTGACACTCTCTCTGGTCTCCATCGTTGCCAGGCATATGCATAGCACACACACTTACATGTAGGCAAAATACCCACGCACATTAAAAACAAAAAAAAATCAAAGAAACTCTCAGCAAGGTTGTATGGGAAAAAAAGGACTGTGCAGTACTGATTGTGTGATTTTGGACTTGCGCACTGAGCTGTCAGTTTGGACTGCTCTCTGCACATCTGGGATCCATCAAGGATATTAAGAATGTTAAAGGTTTTGATTGGAGGTCAGTGTGCTGTGCACTTTGAGAAGGTTGTTATAAAGACGGAAAAGCATTTCCATGCAGATCATACTGGAAACCACCCCAGTCAGCCTGAAAAACGAGTTGTTCCATTCCAGTCAGGGTGCAGACAGTCACGTGGCTTTTAATCCGGGGTCAAAGATGGGGACCTGAGGGTGGAGAGGGAGACAGAAAGAGAACCTCTGTGGTGTTGAGATTTTTCTCTTTAAGTCAACGCATCTCCTGGCGTTTGTCTTGGCAGTCCTCTGTGTGTACCCTCAGGCTCCGGAGTGACTTTCCAGTGTGAAGGTCAGCCGTCATTGTGTACCTGTGACCCCGGGTCCTCTGTTTAGTTCCCACATATTGAATACTTCAGGGGAACGTGAAGAAGGAATTGTGAGCTGGGATTGCTCATGTGGGCAGATGATCCAGCTGGAGGTTAGAATGTCTGTGGGGTCATCAAATCCCCAGGGTGGGGAGCCAGCACCCCAGGAAGCAGCTGATGGATTATGAGCAAAGGGGGTGATCTGTAACTGAAAAAGCTTTCAGCTCTTCTCGCCCCTCCCCTTCCTCTTCCCTCATTTACCTATTACCTCCTGTTCCTCTCTCTCCCTCCTCCGGTCTTTTCCTCCACTTCCTCCTTTTCAGGCCTGACCGAATCAGTGAACTCGGTTTTTATGAGCTGCTTAGATGTACAGAGGGGAAGGGGGACAATCTAGATGAAATATCCTGTTGCCCCAAAGTTCAGCTGTTGACAAAAGAATGAGCAGTTTTTCACGAGAATCGTGTGTAATATGTTAGGAAGAGAAACAAAAAATTAGCACTCTTGTGGTAAGCTGATATTGGGTAGCAGCAGATTAATTTTAATCATTTAATTTGAAGCGCTCCTCTATTCTTTGTTTGTTTGTTTGTTTGTTTGTTTGTAACTGCTAGTCAGTGCTCTCCACGGGTACTTGCTTGACGTTCATTCCTGCCCCGTTTGAGAGGAGAGCTGTAGCTAAAGTTTTCCTGCCTGGCCCACAGTCAGGACAAATCTCTATCTCCTGTCAGTCCCACAGCCCCTCAGACCTGACCAAGTAAACACAGAGACTTATATTGGTTACAAACTGTATGGCCGTGGCAGGCTTCTTGCTAACTGTTCTTATAGCTTAAATTAATCCATTTCCATTAATCTATACCTTGCCACATGGCTCGTGGCTTACCGGCATCTTCACATGCTGTTTCTCATCGTGGCGGCTGGCAGTGTCTCCCTCACTCAGCCTTCCACTTCCCAGCTTTATTCTCCTCCTTGTCCCGCCTACACTTCCTGCCTAGCCAATGGCCAATCAGTGTTTTATTTATTGACTAATTAGCAACACATTTGCCATATAGAACATCCCACAGCAGAGAGCACTCTCTCTTGGCCAGCCAGTTTACAGCGCTGGCTCCTGCCACAGTGCTGGGCTGACTCTGGAGTTGGTGCTTGCTGAAGACTGTCAGTCGTCTGCTCCGGGGATTTTCCACCTCTGCTCTGCAGCTTTGTGACACCGAGACGCTCGGTAGCTTGTTGTTGTCGTCATTGTTGGAACTGGCTCGTGTGTTTCATGCCCACCAAAGCTGTAGTGAGAGGACCTTGCCTTGCCTCGTCTGGCCTCTGGCAGTGCCATTCTGAGTCTTTCTTGACTGTCTTTGTCCTCTCCTGTCTCTAAGAAGGACCCTCCCTGGTCACTGCCTCTAGGGTCCTCCCAGGTCATCCACAAAAACTTCATCTTGAGAGCCTTAGTCACATCTGTGAAATGCTTTTCCTCAAGCAGGACCATGTCCACAGGTTCTCATATTAGGATGCAGACATACCTTGTGGAGGGTTATTGCTCAACTCTGCCCCATTGTCTGTCTGTCTTTTAGCTAAGTGTCCCAGTAATCTTTGTCTTCCAGGGTGCTGTGTACTCAGTAGTTACTAATAAATGTTTACTGGATTGAAAATGTGACTTTGTTTTTAAATGGCCCAAATTCATGCCTGGATGAACTATCCTACCTTGGTCCAGACATGTCCTGTGCTTAGCTCAAAGGAGTGCTTGACCATAGACACTCAGGCTCGCAAAGCAAATGCATGCTTCACATTAGTGTTGGGCCTTCTAGAAACCTTGAGAAAGAGCAGCTGTGAGCCGGGCTATCCTGGTCGGGGAGATTACTATTTTCCTAGGTGTTCATCTGGGCTTCAGTTAACTTGAGAAATGGTCTCAAGCGTCAGTAGCACCCACCAATGTAGAAATGCCTCCATAGAATCGACCCCATTTGACTTTCGTTAACTCAGATGCCTTCTTAGAGAGAAAACAACTGATGTGGACTTTAAAGACAGGGAAGAAGTTGTAATATTAATAAGCTTGCTCTTCTCTGATTCGCTGAAGGTGACAGAGCTATAAACCCAGGACAGTCGCTGGCTGCATCCTCTGGAATCAGCTCGGGACAGAGGAAGGCACACACACAGGGTCGGTCAGAGATCCCCTCACCAAGAAGCTGAGGGTCTAGGCAGCCAGGCTGTGAACTCTGTGACCTTTGACAGGCCACTTAATTTCTCAGGCTATGTTTGCTGCCTTTTCTAGAAGCCAAGTGGGTGGATCCAGTGGCTTCACACTGTGTGCTGGTGTCCCGTGGCACTCCCCTTCTAGACTCTGCTCTAACACAGGCCTCATGGTTTTCTTTGAGATTAGCAACTGGGTTGGCTGGGGATGCACCTCAGGGCGGAGCATGTGTGCCCCCTGCATGCACTGGGCCCTGGGTCCCCGACCCAGCACAGACTGGGTTTGCTTCAGAGTGAAGAAAGGCTCTGGTCTCTCACCCACCTCCTTGCAGCGGAGAGTTCCAAGGACGCGCATGCGGTGAAGGTGAAAGAGGAGCCCATGGAGGTGGACATCCAGGACTCCCCGGGCTCCGTGTCACCCGGCCGGAACGTTGGCTACAGCACTTTAATGGGGCGAGAGAAGACTGAACCCTTACAGAAGCTGCCAGAAGGTCGAGTTCCCCCGGAGAGAAATCTCTTCAGCCAGGACATCTCGGTGAAGATGGCTTCTGAGCTGCTTTTTCAGCTCTCAGGTAGGGGAACTGCGGGAAATGCTGCTGACTGAGAAGCGCTGCTTGTAAAGCCCTTCTTGGGAAGGGAGCAGTGACCCACGAGGCGGGGTGTTTTGGAAAGATCTGTGTTGTGTATACTGCATTAATGGTTAATGAGGTGTTGCCAAATCGGATTCTTACCTCACTTAAAAAAATTGTTGTTGGGATTTTGTTTAGGTGGAGGTCAGATGACAGCTTTGGGGAGTTGGTTCTCTCCTCCCACCACATGGATTCCAGAGACAGAACTCAGATCATCATGCTTGGTTTCAAGCCCCATTACCTGCTGAGCCCTCTCACCTGCCCCACACTGGCTTTAACATAGCTGGGAATTAGAGCTCTGTGCAGTTCTGATGACCCCTTTGACCAGGCTCAGGCAGGTACCTCTGGGAAAGCTTAGCGTTGATCTTATTAACAGTCTTTTCTTTCCAGTGTGCGAAAGATAAACTTCCATGTCCTCCAAGAGAGCCTGCATTGCTGGGGAAAATCGTGTTGCCTGAATGAGTGAAATATTATTATTATATCTTGCCAAAAAAAAATTTAAAAAGACGGAAGGCCGTCTCCAGCTGTGGTCTAAGAGGGTGTTTTTGTAAACTAACCTTTCTTCCTTCAAATGCTTGGAATCCAGATGTGCAGGTATTCAGCCCTGCGAAGGGTCTGGGTACCGAGTTGTGCCTTCTGTCTGCTCTTCCAGCTTCTGTCATTTGTCCCCAGCACATTTAGTATGCTGCTACTCCCTGAACGTGAAGACTGGCTTTGTGTACTTACAAGATGGTATTCTGGCAGACACCACACAATCCCTCATCTGGGTCTTCGTGAAGTTTTCCACCTGTCGTTTCTCAGTGAAGTTTGACAGAGCAGACCCCCTCACGTTCCTGTCACAGAAGACACTTGTCCTACCCTTAGAAACAGACAGGAAAAAAGCTCAAGTCTGTGCCACCCTCATAGGTCAGTTTCTCCTTGGCCTGGTGATGCCTCCACAGCTGTGCGGCTCTCAGATGACACTGAGATTCTCCACAGTGGTGGAGATCACTAACTCAGTAAGCTTTAGAGAGTCTTGACTTCTGGCGTCCCTTTTCCAAAGGCCGAGGCACATTTCAAAGCAAGGTTACATAGACAGCGATTGAAGAGTCTGCATCAGCTGAGGCTTTGAGAGGTCTCACCCAGGCACAGTCACAGCCTAGATGACCCCAGACAAGTCATCCTGCCCAGGTTGCACGCTGGCTAGCAACCATGGATGCTGGCAGGTGATCCAGATTCTCCCTTGGTGTCACTGTTGAAAAAGAAAGGAGGTGTCCATGTAAACACACATGGCTTAGCTTCACATCAGTCAAAGGCAGGTAGGAAGGATGTATAAACCTTGCTTACGTTTTGCAAAAAGTCCCCAAGACGAGATTTTTTTTTTAAAATCTACCTGGTGGTAAAATCTGAAACCACTGTAGGTTGGCCAGGTTTCCTGCAAATGCTTCAAGCTGTCGAGACTGTTGGTCAGGGTAGAGTCCTCACGTTTGTCCTGGGTCAGTGAGGCTGTGGTTCAACTTGGTGTTCTTGAAAGCTAATTAAATAATTTCTGACAGCTGGTGGATACAGACCCCAGGATGCACGAGGAGAGGGCTTACCTCTTGTCTAGTGACATCGTTCTGTTCCTGGTGACATTTATTAGAATAGGCAGTCCATGGCAGCACCAAGAGCTCCCTGGCCATTTTCTTTTTTTTTCTTTTTTTTTCTTTTTTTTTTTTTTTTTTGGTTTTTCGAGACAGGGTTTCTCTGTGTAGCTTTGCGCCTTTCCTGGAACTCGCTTTGGAGACCAGGCTGGCCTCGAACTCACAGAGATCCGCCTGGCTCTGCCTCCCGAGTGCTGGGATTAAAGGCGTGCGCCACCACCGCCCGGCGCCTGGCCATTTTCTGAAGGAGCCTCACAACACAGACTGTCATCAGAGCTACGGATAGGACAGTTACCACAGCCACAGTTGGAGGGCTTGATTAAAGTCAAACAGGAATTGCCAACTAGGGAAAGAGGTAGAACCAACTATTTCTGTGCACCTAACGTGAGTGTGTGTTTGGGTGTGTGGTATGCACTCGTACTCACTGAGGCCTAGTTACAAACAGGTAGCACCCAAACTGAACTCACTCGTTCTGTTTGATCAGTGTTTAATAGTTCTGTGGGTGCGTCTAGATGCTTTTGACTTTCCTAATAAGATAGAGAGAAACTGGGTGTTTCTGCCGAAAGGATGGAAGTGGACTGAGCTTAACCCAAGGCATGTGTTTCATTCTGTCTCCTCACAGAAAAAGTGAGCAAAGAACACAATCACACGAAGGAAAACACCATCCGGACGACCACCAGGTAGGTGACTGCTGTGCACTGTCACCCTGTACCCTAGCATTTATTAGACATCTACAAGGAAAGGGCCAGCTTGCTGGGGAGTTTTCCATATGGCATTGCTTTTCATTCCTTGCAGTAATTTTATGAAGTAGATGTTCTTACCACCTTTGCAAGACTTTTTGTTTTGTTTTGTTTTGTTTTGTTTTATGAGACCGAGTTTCTCTGTGTAATTTTGGTGGCTGTCCTGGATTTCGCTCTGTAGACCAGGCTGGCCTCAACCTCACAGAGATCCACCTGGCTCTGCCTCCTGAGTGCTGGGATTAAAGGCGTGCACCACCACCGCCCAGCCAAGAGTTTATTTTCTTACTCTTTGGTGCTTGGACCTAAATCCAAGGCCTTCCGTGGTGAGTGATGTGTTGTGCTGCTGAGCTTCGTCTCCAGCAGTCAGAAATGTCTAAACTTAAATGTCTGAGTTTAAATGGGAGGCCTGGTGGGAGGCTGGGTCTGGGACTCGGGGTCCGAGGTTCCCGACGGTGGCTCTGCTCCACGCTGGGACTGCAGCTCTGAGCTCACTGCTGCCCCTCTGTTGTTAACTGGACGCAAGGGAGAGGATTTTAAAGCAGACGGAAGACAGTGCTTTTCAAAAGCTGCAAGAGGGTGAGTGGGCTGGCTCAGCGGCTAGAGGATGGCCGCCGAGCCCGGCCCGGAGTCCGTCCCTGGAACCTACATGGTAGGAGAGATTGACTCTTCTGACCCCTGACCTCCACATGCGTGCTGTGACATGCCCACCCCATAAACAAATAGTCAAATAAATATTTTCGTTAAGTTGAGAAGCTGGACACCATGTTGTACCGTGTGGTCTGGGAGCGAAGGCAGGAGGATTGCTTCAGCCTAAGAGTTTAGGCAGCTTAGACAACATAATGAGACCAAGTCTTTAAAATGAAAATGGATCTGAATGACACTGTAGTCGAGAACATTCCCCATTTGGCAAAGGTTGGTGAGTGGTCAGCAGTATGGGCTGCCCACCATCCTGCCATCAGGAGGAATGGAGGAACGTCAGTATGGGTGCTCACACAGAGAGAGCCTTGGAGGACCCCTCAGTAAAAAGTGAGGTGGGTAAGGGGCAACAAGCGGATCTACAGAGAGGGGCTTCCCTGTGCAGGACCACCTCCACCCTTAACTTGCCTCTGACTTACCCAAGACAGGAGCCGTATGGGAAGCCAGGGTGAGGTGAGTTTATGGGATGGAGAACCAGGAAATTGGTCCCGTCAGGAGTTTGCTTTCCTGGGCAAGCCGAGTTGTGTTCTGACTCGTCAGCTGACTGGATTTATATTTGGAATTCCTTGGGTGTGTGTATCTCTGTGTGTGTGTGTGTGTGTGTGTGTGTGTGTGTATCTGTGTGTTGATGTGGGTTTACATGCGTGCATGTGAGTGGAGGCCACAGAGCAGCCTTGCAGTAGCTCTTCAAGTGCTCATTCACGTTGTTGTTGAGACAGGGTCTCTCACTGGCTCAGATCTCAGCAAGGAGGCTAGACTGGCTGTCCTGTGGGCCCCAGGGACCCACCTGGTTTTTGTTTTTGTTTTTTTTTTAACTTGGGTTCTGGAGGATTGAACTCAGGTCCTCAATGGAAGTATTTTACCAGCTCAGCTATCTCCCAAGCCCTGTGCTTTCAGTTCTTGAAACAAATGATAAATGCATGAATTTCTTTTAGGCATGCTGTAAATTGACCTCATTGCACCATAAGGTGTGGACAGAATCCTCTTGGATTTTAACCTGAGATTTTCTTTTCTGCTCAGCTCAGTAGAATTCAGAATATTGGATATCAAAGAGAAATGAACACGAAGTCAGCTTGCCTCATGGGCTACGTAGTACTAGGAAAAGAACACCTCTGTCCTAGACCAGAAGACTTGACAGCCCTGGTCTCTGAGTGGACAGGGATGGACAGCTGTCTTCTGAAAATGGCCCCTAGATTGTCTTGGGAAATGAGTCTGGGTGGGAAGCCTATTTTATCTGTGACCTTGGGTGCCCCAGCAGGACATTTGAGTTTATGTAAATGCTAGCTTGCTGCCTCCATGGCATCCGATGTCTGTAATCTTGTCTGCTGTGTCCCAGAGTCCTAACTTCTGATGGAATTGCCTTGATCCATAGTCACCGAAGCACAACGACCTAGTGACAGATGTTCATTGCACTTTGCTTCTGGGATTCTTGACCGTCATAGCTCGGGCCCCTAGAGTGGAGTGTGAGTAGGAGCTCTCTTGAGGTGCTTTAGTGAGGAACTGCTTTGGGATGGGAGGGGCTGGAGGAGGGGAGTCTGTGGAGGTTGGAGCTTTGGTTGTAGCCTCCTTCAGCTCAGTCCCCTCGGGAGCCCTGGAGTAGGAAGTGCACCACAGAGTCCAGGGTGCCTCCAGTGTGGGCGCCAGCTCCTTGTGCCCCAAAAGCTGTTTCCTAGTGGAGCTCCCACTGGGAGTGGTTGTCACTAATTGTGCAGAAGGGAGGAGCCAGGCAGGCCCCTAGCAGCATTCCCAGGGAGTATATGCTAAATACTTCATTACAGAAAGGTGTGTGAGACCGTGTTATTTTACGCTTTTCACGTGTTCTGGAAGAGGGAAGAAGGCTGAAATATGCCTCTAGTCTAAATTGTTTTGGCTGGAACTGAAGCATAATTATAGTTAAAGGAGATTTTTTATTTTTAAGCATTCAGCAAAAATGAATCAGTCATAATTTCTTCTCTTTCTGAGAGATTATTATAAGGAAGAAAAATTCAACTCAGATCTGCCTCAAGCAAAGGAAAAGTTGCTTCCTGGGAACTCTGACCAGACACAGTTTGGAAGGCAAGATTAGACCCCATGGTTTATAATTCCACAAAATCCTGGGTGTGTTTTTATTTATTCTTGTTGACACCTTGGCCAAATCCACAAATTGAATTCTTTTTTACCCCTTACCTCGTGGCTTGAAGTGGAGTCAAGCTGCTGCAGCAGCGGATCGTCTCCCACCAAGGACAGTGGAAGATGGTAGCTCACTGAATCTCCCTGCCTAGTTCCTGACTGCTTTCAAAGGACCTTATTTTGTATACACAAGGTCAGGATGGGGGCCGTATTTTAGGGTATGATTTGTAACATCCTTCAAATAGACTTACATCAACTCTTCATTTTCATGTCTGCGTTTTTAAGTTTGCAGTGGGATATTTGTTTAGTTACTTTGTAAAGTCAGGCTCTCACCATGTAGCTTGGTTTGACCCAGAACTTTCAGCCATCCTGCCTTAGTCTCCCAAGTGCTGGGATTACAGGGGTACAGCACCCCACTTGGCCCAGTATCCCATTTCTAGTGTTTATTTCCCAGAAGAAGCTAACTGTTCAGAACAGTGGCTCACCACTGGCCTCTAGAACTTACTATGTAGTTTAATTATGAAGGAAGCCCTGGAGGCTGGCCTGCCCATACAGAACAGAGACACAGCTTTTCCCTGCCTCTTTGATATTGATGGATGTCCAAGTTCCTCCACTTGGGGTGTCTCCTGCTCCAGAAGTTTGGGTAGTTACAGGCCATGAAAGGCAAAAAGACAATCTGAAGGAAGTTGCCGGCCGCCTCCCTATCCTACATAAGGCCGTGGCTTCCTTACATTTGTCTATCACTGTTGATTTCTATGTTCATCACATCCACAGGGCCTGTGGAAAAGCAGAGCAGTCCCCAGTGAAACACACCATGGCTCCCCATTCCCACCGGCTCTGCTGGGAGGCCAGGGCCAGCTCCCGTGCCTGACACCAGATGCCCTTCAGGTTTTCCATCCTTCCAGCCACAACTCTGCCCCTTGCTCTTATACCAGAGGCTATAAAGCATCAGATGTGGAGAGCAGAAATGACAAGAGACAGTACTTCTCAGCAGTTTTTAAAAGGAGGCTTAGAGGAAGCTAAATCCTGAGACTAACCACTAGCATGTTTCTGGGCTCATTGGTCTGTTTTTATACCTCTGTAATGGAGAATTTCAAAGACACGCAGGGGCGGAGAGAGATGCCAGTCACTATTTAGACTGTTATCAGTTCCTAACCTGTGTTATTTCATCTGTTTCTTTCCTTGGCACCTCTTTCTGTAGATTACTTTGAAGCAAATTCTAGGCTTCAGAATGCATGTGTATTGTGCACGTGTGTGTACATGTGTGCATACATGTGTGTGGGCTTGATCACCTGTGCATATACAGCATCATTTTTTTCTATTGCTCTCCACCTTAAGCTTTTGAGACAGTGTTTCTGACTAGTCTGGAGCTCATCAATTAATCTATCCAGTTAATTACCCAGCAAGTCCCTCAGAGTCACCTGTCCCGTGCCTGGCACCAGCACCAGATACTGTTCCTGGCTTTTGTTTGTTTGTTCTATAAAGATGAGGTTGTATAGCTCCAGCTGTCCTGGAAGTCACCATGGAGACCAGGCCTTGAACTCACAGAGATCGGCCTGCCTCTGCCTCTGGAGTGCTGGGATTAAAGCGTGTGCCACTGTGCCTTTACTAACTGCTTGGCTTACTGCTCCAGGTTTTACGTGGGTCCTGGGGACACACATGCCTCGTGCAGCAAGCACCTTACCCACTGAGCATTCTCCCAGCCGCCCACAGACTTGATTTTAAGGACTGATTTGATTGCTTTTGTTTTCTTTGCTGTGGTGCTGCTGTTGGAGCCCGCAGCCTCAGACAAGCTGAACCAGCACTCTGCCATGAGCCACATCCCCAGCGAGGAGTGGCTTGGGAATGCCCTTTTTTATTTTAAAATCCTAAGACCTTAGAATCAGCAGTATAAAGTAGAGCCATCTTCCCAAAAGTAAAGGCGAAAAATAACCCACCAAAGTGTACCAGATAGCCAGGCAGAAAAATCAATTACTTAGCAGCTGGAGTGATTGCATCACGTGATTCTGCCTTTACCCTGTCCCTCTGCCCTTGTCTGGGTCCTTATAAGGGCACCTGCGCTGGATACAGCCTGTAAATTCTCAATCCGCCATTCTTTCACACGTTCAACCGTAAGAGTCTAGAAAACTCAAGTG